TGACCACGGCATTCGACCTCGATGACGATCTGCAGCAGCATTTCGTCAAAGGCTACAAGTCCGATCCGACTTACTCTACGCTTTACGCAGAGCTTTCATCGGATCACCCGCCGGCTAGCCACTATCGGATTTCCGACGGGTTCCTTCTCCTTCACACGAGAGGAAAKGACTTGTTAGTTGTGCCCCAAGATCGTATCTTACGGACTCGTCTTCTCGGCGAATTCCACAACGGACGGCTTTCGGCACACCTTGGCGTGAACCGCACACTAGCACGCCTCCGCCAGCGTTTTCACTGGCCCGACGTCCTTCATAACGTCACGAGGAACATTGAGTCATGTGCAGTTTGCCACCGTAACAAGGGTCGATCTCGAGTCCCCTTCGGCGAACTGAAACCGTTGCCGATTCCTCGGGCACCACGCCTCTCCATTGCTATGGACGTGACAGGCCCGTTTYCCCGCGATCGCCACGGCCATGACGGTATTCTCACGGTCATTGACCGCTTGAGCAAGTATGCTCGCTTCCTTCCTTGCAAGTATCATGCTGCAGCACCTGAGCTCGCACGACTCTTGCACACCGGTTGGATTACCAACCAGGGTGTTCCGGAAGATATAGTGAGCGACCGAGATACTCGCTTCATGTCGGCCTTTTTGACTTCTCTCATGACTGAGTCCGGCACGACAATGAAGCCAAGCTCGGCTCGGCACCAGCAGACGGATGGTCAGACGGAGCGAGCGCACCAGACCGCTCAGATGATGTTGCGTACGCTCATCCGTCCCGACCAGAAAGATTGGGTTGACCGGCTTTCCGACATTGAGTTCGCCTACAACACTTCGGTGCACCCGACGATCTGCGTCACACCATTCGAGCTACATCATGGTGGAGAGAAAGCACGGATCTTCGCTGATCTCCTTTTGCCACAGGCTGCCGACATAGACGTCCCTTGCTCTCCCGCTTCCATCGGGAAGTACCGGGACTTGCTGATAAAAGCCCGCGCAAATATGCAAAAGGCTCAGGTCCGCATGCAGCAGCAAGCTAACCGACGTCGACTTCCATGTCCTTTCCGCGAGGGAAACCTTGTTTGGGTCCTCTCCGAGGAATTTGCGCTCGAGCAGGATGTTTCGCGCAAACTCCTTCCGAAATGGTTCGGACCATGGGAAGTCACTTCTGCCGTTGGAGATGACCCCGCAGGTCCTTCCTTCGTGATCAACATTCCACCGCATCTGACAGTGCATCGGGTCTTCCATGCATCAAAGCTGGCCATCTACACGCCACCTTCAGCTGACGAGTTCCCCGGACGTCGATCACAGGATCTGCCTTCGATGGACGGACATCAGGAAGTTGACCGAGTCATCACGCACCGCAAGTATGGCAACAAGCCAAGGCAGTACAAAGTCACATTCAAGCAATGTGCGCCTGATGACACTCGGTGGATCTCCAGTACTGATTTGCAGACTTCTGCACCCCTCATATTCGCCGACTACGAGAAGCGACGCCTTGCTAAGGACGCAGCTCGTCCCGCCCGACCCACCCCGGTATCGGACAGACAACTTCGCCCTCGCAGGTAGCTCGGTCTTTTAAGAGGGGGAGTGTGTTACATCTTCGACGCACACGGGCCCTACCGGACCCGACTTAGGGTCAGAGGGACACATCAGGGCCTAAAGGCCCGAGCTTGGGATAATACAGG